AGACTTACCTCAGCAGCTAGGATGGAGATGATTGCTACACCCATACGTTTCATGTGAATATCATTGAACTTGATGAGACTTCTGAACACCAATTCGCAACACCGTTTGCAACTGAATTGCTACAGTGTCAAAGGAAGCAACAAAACTGGGTAGATCACAAAAAGGCGAGCAAAGTAGCACAAGTAAGAATGCGGCTTACAGCTCTGTGAAGGACATTGTCACTGCATAAAGTGAGAAAACAGTTCTTCAACAACTGCACCTGTCCCTGATGATGTTCAATGGACATGAGAGTGATGCTGACAGCTCGGTTGAGCAGTTCTAGTGGGAGATACGCTGATTGCTCACCTCGAGTTAGGTTATAGACGACTGCCGTACCCGCCAGAATCATATCCTGCTTGTTCATATGCAGTCTCATTACTCGCAACACGGCCTGTTGGGGGCAAAAGGATCGCTGTCATTGGGGACCGGAGAAATGCATAGATTGATGCAAAACGCGAAAGTTCACATCGTGTATGCATTTCAGCACGATAGCTGGGCGAAAAACCACAGCTCTCCTACAACCTGGATACAGCAGAGGGCAGTGGTACGATGTAAGTGGAGTTGCTATCCCATTTGGATTAAGGAGAAACTTGTGCTGCGAACAGTGGCAGACACCAGAGCAGAGGGTGAGACTTGGGGAGCAGTCACAGTAAGCGTTCAGACAAGTGGCACTTGAAAGATGAAGCAACACTGAAAAAGGTACGCCATTTTCAGGGGATGCCATAGCAATCAGCTTCAACATCATAATGGTCGCCTTTAACACTCAATCACGGTTACACAGACCCAATTGACGTTAAAAAATGACACACACAACTCTCGCCTTGGAGACACTAATTTTCGGCAAAATAATCGCATTTACAGGTAGCGGTGGAAAAAGTCGTGTTCTGCCCCTCTTTGGTTACTCAAATACCTGAAGATGGGTTTCCACAATTATAGCTGACAAATACCGCAGCTTAACCAAAGCACTAAGCCATAAATGTTAGGAAGGTTGTTTGAGCCAAATCGTGGGAAGTTAAATGCACCTTTAAGTCAGGCATTTCAGCAATGACTGACGCAGAGCATTGAAGACTCAAATGAAGCAAAAAAAAAACAGTCGTGACAGCCGTTTGAAAACTGTAGGGAGAGAAGGCTTTTACTGCAAATCCAACTTCTGCTAGTCTCATTTGATAGGAGCAAAAAACCTCGTTTAGAGGTAGTAAAAAATCCAAATTGAGAGCCGGTTTAAAAAAGGCGAATGTTTGTTTGTATGTATGAGAGATGGCCTGTTGATATAAAGACAAATCCCTGCAAGCATTCACTCAGTTTACTATCAGCGCAAGCACTATGCCAGGTGATGAGCTTCAAAACCGGATGGAACGGCGTAACCTACAGCCAGAAGGTCGGGATTCAGCCATTCTCGCGAGATTGTTTCCTCAAAAATGTTGTGAAATGCGTTTTGAAGATAAATCCGACGGTCCTTGTTCCTTGTCAGTGTATTCAAAAGAGGTTTCTCACCTCGATCACCAAGCATCTAAAGGGAAGAGGTTAGAGGCTGGATTAACAGATGATGCATTTCAAAAAGAAGCATTTTTAGTAGATAGCAGCCTTTCCAAAGAACTTAGAGGAAAGTTCTCAATCAAAACCCAGCATAGCTACCGAAAATGATGTAGAGGAAGTTCCATCCTTACATGCTTTGCAGTTTTACAGTTGACACTAAGGGAGGAAGCATAAATCGGATCTTGTAATAGGAATCGCATGGCAGATGAGCCTAAAGTTTAAAGTCCGTAGACGAAAAAGCCATTTTGAATAACCTAATTAACACAAAAAAATATTTACACTACGTAAGATGTGTTTACTTCATAACGGCGGCGGATTCAGATCAACAAACTTGAAGTTGAAGTGTCAAGAAAACTTAAAATAATAATCGCAACTTAAATGCGAGTGCAAAAACCCATAAACTTGAAAGCCACCGGAGCAAACAATTGAAACTATAGCACGTTATGAGAAGCTCTCTAGGCATCTAGGATTCACACCGAAGAAATGGAAAAAAAACATGCAAATTACATTTTGGCCCTGTGAAGAGCTTAGGAATAGGTGGAAGAATAAAATACAATCCTGGAGGCGATGAAACTTACCGTGATGTTTGGATACTTCAAAGAAAGCTGGTAGATACCCTCCAATTCATGATTTTGACGAGATGGCCATGCTGCGAGACCGAGAAACTCAAGATTTGGGTGATTCGCGATGAAATTTCTGATGAAAAGCAAAGCACTTTGAACGAGAGAAAGTTTGAAATTAAGAGTGCAAAGTATTATCGAGTCGGACTACCTAGGTAGGCATAAGATGCTATGCGCTGGCAAATTAGATTCCCAAGAGTTACTGAAGGGGCTAGACATTAAGGTTATCATATCTGTTAAAATGAGTAGCGCATTTCAAAGTCACGGATAGGATGCATAGACAACCGCAGAATAAATAAAACTATAGTTGCTCAGCTACTACATCAATTTAAAAATGAGATGGTTTTCCATTAATATAGTAAGTCAATTCGCAGCTTAAAATATCCTAACAACAGTTCCGTGTTTATAAACACTGTGAATGATAAATCCCAAGGGCATCTCCAATATAATACATTTCCAGTTTGCAGAGAATAAAACGCATATAAAGCTACAGTAATCCCAGTTCACGTCAGCACCATTTGCTTAAAAAAGGATTCTGGCACCAAAAAGATCACTGAGGAGCTAAGATGAAGGAGGTGGCGTCTAGAATTAAAATAAGACAAAGTGATTATTTTTAATGTTCTAATTACAGTTGGTAAAATTAGTGACGAGTAGATCAATATTCAAAAATCCACACAATGTTTCATTGATCACTATCCAAGTGAATGTTACAGGCCAAGTTTAACTAACCTGACATCACTCAATTTCAGGCTAAACTGATTTCCGCAAATATCAAAGTGAGTCAGGTGAGGAAGGGCTCCGGGCGCACACAAACGATCGACTGCAGGAAGACGGGGCTTGTCCCTATCCGAAGCCGATGAGACATCAAGCACTCGCAGTTCTTTCAATTCAAGCACTGTTGACAGGACCCGTTCGAGGACTTGCCTGCTGTCCAAATTGAGTCTGTGCATAATAAGCCCTGTGAGAGTGTCCCGCAGATCCAACAGAGCGGATATATTGTTAATGTTTGTCCGTGAGATGTTAAGATACCGAAGGCGAGGAAGAAGTTTGACGGCGTTTTGTAGACACTCTGTGGTAAATTTTGTTCGACTAACATTTAGAGCTTGAAGGTTTTTAAGGCGGCCCAGAGAGATGATCACAGGCAGCTTATTTTCTTCAATAGCAGTATTCGTCACATTAAGTGACACCAAACTTTCCGCTGAAGCTTCACTCAAGCAACTGATAAGGCTGTTGAGACTTGTCTGCTTCAAACTGGTTGCTGTCAAGTTGTAAAGCTTAAAGTCACGCAGAACACGCAAGGTGGATGGGCTGACGGAGACGTCACGAAGAACAGGTGAGACAAGGTCAACATATTTTACAGAGAATAGACTGAGATAATCATCCCGCAAAATCTGCCTCTTGCATAATTTAAGAAGAATTTTCTCAGCTGGTCGTGCCACGATACGACAGTCCGGGTAAGGGAAGCGCCAGACATATTTAGGTTCAATGCAATCTGAACATTTTGTAATTACTTGGTTCAGATTTTTAGTTATCCATCTGACACATATATCCTCCAATGAAGGAACCGCGTCTATTGTTAAAAGTGGTCACAAAAGTCAGGAGCCCAAAAAAGCTGAGTCATAAATAAATAGCGGCATAGTCTTGGTTTAAGAAACTGCTAAATCCTGGGCTGAAATAAAGCTATCAATGAAATCGAAACCATGTAACTAGTTACTGCAGAGAAGGAATCCAAGCGATGCATAGAACAATTACCACAAAAGACTGGGTAAATTTCCCCTCAAAAGAACCGATAGCATAGCACAAAAAGTAAAACCTTGACCATAAGGGAACTCACAGCGATCACACATTGAACCGTCAGGCTAGTGACCTCATTAGTAAAATGCAAGCATCGAGTAACACTGTGAACATTGACCAATCGAGTCTGTGAATTCGCTCAGCACATTAGATCAAAACGGAAGGTTGCCACCGGTCTAAATAAAAAGCACTAATATTTTGATAGCAAAGCGTAAAGCATTACCGAATGGCGTAAAAGCGAAATTAAAATGAAATACGCCAGTATAAATGGGTTTATTTATCTCTGTGCGAACACTGACGATTCAGACAGATGTGGACATAATTCAAATTTCAAATAGATTCAGACTCACGGTAAGAATTTCTGTATAAGTACGCTGTAAAAAAATTATCAATTATAGGTCGTGGAAAGCGTATGGGAAAAATTTAAAATGTCAATGTACATTAGTGGCTATCAAAGTGCTAAACGGTCGGCCACATGCAACGTTAACCTAATCTGCACTGCGCATGTAGCGTTTCGAGACTTTCCGACTGGTGTAAGAAGCCGGTAAGTGCAGATGGATACATGCATTCTGAAGACGATAGGACAATTGGACCTGGAAATAGCCCGAAGTACAGCCCACGTGTTAAAGTGTCAGGCAAATGCTCAAGTGACCGCCAAACGCCG